TTAGCGGAAATTCATTGTGTGTATGGCTTTGTAAATGGAAACGCAGCAGAAGCAGCCAGAGAATACGCACGAAGATTTATAAACAGACGACATCCAACTCGCTCAGTATTTGTAAGAGTGCAAATTATTGAAAATGGTTTTGGAAATCTCCAAAGGGATCAAAACATAAATGTTCATCAGCGCAGATTTACCCGTACGATTCTGCGTGAGTCTGATAGATCCGACCACAAGTTTTAGGAGAGTTTCTGGTGCCTTGGGAATTTCAGCAAGCCATGTTCACTGTGTTCCTGGAAATGACCATACACGTCCTTACCATTTGTAACCTGTGCAAGGACTACAGCCAGGGGTCGGAGAACGAAGAATCACATTTTGTCAGTGGATTCTTGATAGAACTGATAATAATAGGGAGTTTTTAGGTAACGTTTTGTGGACCGATGGGTCATGCTTCACTAGACGTGGAGTGGTAAATTTTCATAATCAACATATTTGGTCGCATGAAAATCCGCATGCAGTTCGGGAAAGAAATTTTCAGCATGAATTTAGTGTGAACGTGTGGATTGGTATCTACCGTAATCGACTATTTGGACCCTACCTTTTGCCTGCAAGGTTAAATGCTGCGACCTTCTTGGAATTTTTAAGGGCTGAACATGCAAATATATATGTGGGATGATGTTATGTTAGATTTAAGAAGATTGGCCTGGTTCCAGTTTGATGGTTGTCCAGCTCATTATTCGAGAATAGTTAGAATTTGGCTGGACGAAAATTATCCAGAAAGATGGATCGGCCGTGCAGGACCAGTCGCCTGGCCTCCACGATCCGCTGACCTAAATCCATTAGATTTCTTTGTGTGGGGATTTCTAAAAGAAAAAGTGTACCAGACTCCCGTAACCACAAGAGATATGCTAATGGACAGAATCAGGAATGCATGTGGTGAAATAAGGCCTTATTTGAATAATGCTATACCACGTTCGATCATTCGTAGATGTGAATTGTGTATTGAACAATTGGGTTTACCTTTCGAGCAACTACTTTAGATTTTGTATGTTTGTCCTAACTATCCAATAGCATTTTAGTTGTAAATAATTAATTTAATTTGTTAAAAATAATATTGGAAAATTAAACAAATTCATATTCTGTTTTTTGTGTTTATTTGGAGTTAGGAATTATTGCTGTGTTTAAAAACACAATCTAAACGATCATCTTAATTACTTGTAATGCCCAAATCGAAAATGTAAAAAAAAATATTATTTTCCAATAAATAATTAAAAATGCATCGAACCTTAAAAATCGAAATATCCCAAAAACTATGGCGAAAATTCACAAGAGAGCTTTTTTATGTTGAAAAGAGCGAAGAATCAGTTTTTTTTATTCAAAAAGCAAAAAATTGCACTAAGAAAATTTTTTCGGTCATTTTAATACGCTACAGGTAAAGTAGAGAGCGCCCTCTAGTGGCTACAGTAAAACTATGCCCATGGTTCGTTTTGTCGTACCAAAAAACCCTTGTATACCAAGTTTCACTGTTATACATCAAATATTGTTCGAAATATTTAAAAAAAACTATTTTAGAAAGTAAATTTAAACACCCTGTATTTCGGAAGCCGCGCATTTTCCGACCCATGTTTATATAGACTTTATGCATTAATTTTAAAAGTTCTATCGAATCTTAAAGTTATGCAACAATAAACTGAAATACCCTGTATAGTGCTTTGCAAAATTCCAATAATCTGTGAATTTCTTAAGAGACATTCCTGTGGGCGCACATGATCGTTGATATGCCTAATCCCGCGAGGATGACAATATTCACGTTTATAGCATACAGCCCAGAGCATCACGTATCGACACGCGACTGTTCTAGATATTTCGAAGCTTCAAGGGCAAATGTGCCTTCAAAAATATGAATCGATTTTCTTTAAATTTGGAATGTCAATGACACAATAGAATGATTTGAATCATTGCCACTAATTAAAAATGAAGCAACACACGTCATATTATCTTTTTAACTTGCGACGTTTTTTGCTGTCTTATTTGAATATAACTTGGAATGCAAGTCCCAAACTGCAGTCCACTTTTCAATTTCATTAATAAATCGACCTGTGTTAAATTCTTCCATTTCAATACCATACGATAGAAAGCAAGTTTTTGACTGAACAGGCAAATGGGATCGCCTTGTAGGGCGGCTTTATTTCCTACACTTCGGAAAGAAAACATAAGTAGGAGAGAGAGAGACACGGAACAGTAGACATAACGGAACATAACAAAATTTTATATTGAATTAAATATACCTTCAGATGTAGTACCTGGTGTCAAAGATTGGGAGTACAAAATCTTTTCTTGAATGATACCTCCGCCGATGTAACGAACATAAACTATTAATGTGCACAATTAACGATGTCTGTGGATTCATCCCAACTTATGGCAAACAAATGGCGATAATTTTACTTTGTTAATTATTTGTGACTTTATGTCTGATGACATGTCATCGATTCTACGCTTGACTGTGTTATTAGAAAGAGAAATAGACTTCATTTTTTGCTCTGCATCTTCTTCTAAAATTATCTGCGTGGCTTTTATGTCACATGGTTTTATTAATTCTTCACCGATAGTATGAGGTTTCTTTTGCTTCGCTATGATAAAAGCTATTTCAAATGAAGCTTTGAGATGTTGCGATACACCTGTGTGATAACTTCCAGATTTATCCAGTCTCATCCGCTTGAGTAATTCTGCAAAACCAGAATATGATGTTACTTGAAACTTTCATCCATATCACACACTGAGGCAACGTTATCTCGTCTTTTTTCTATGAAGGTAAATCCAAATTTAACGTAATCTTCGGAAAACTTTCTTTTTTCCGCTGCCATTTTGCACCTAGAACAATAAAACAAATAAGTAATAAATAAATTAGCAAAATACCTACATGTTGTTACTAATTATCTGCCTATTATTTTATCTTAATAACGTAATGTATTCAACAGTATATTGGCCACCGGGAGATTTATAGTTTTGTAGGCAGGTTGACGTTATAGTAGTAATTTTAAATACATTTGTAATCAATATTAGGTACTTAAATGTCGTCGTTTCGAAATTATTTCGCCACGTTGGTTTGATTGCGCTGTGGTTAAAAAGTCATAAAGTTAAAAAGTCTATGATCCATGAACGCGTCTCCACTCATAAATTAAATAAAAATGGTAACTGAAGTTTGTAAATACATAAACCTACCTTTTAACAGTGAGACACAATAATTTGACTCACTCAAGCAGATTTCTCAACAAAACATGTACATCAAAAGTCAAATTTTTCGCAAGTTTGTGGGAATGAATGTCACAGATACTCATCCGCGTCTGGTTGGAAACTCCTGGTCTAGTGGTACCGTACGCATATACATTTTGTGTCACGCATGTGAGCAGTTAATTAGGAGTATTTTCAAAACGGGCGTCAAGCGAACGCACGTCATTTGAACTTTAAAGCCGCACGTAAATCCCATAAAAACCGGAACTTTATTATACAAACCGTAGGACGAATATCATAATCTACATGTCTCCCCATTTAACGCAATATGTAATCCTACCAGATGTAGATCCAAATACATCGAAGATGAGTGTGCACAAACAGAAAATATGATTAACGAGCAACACGAGATATAATCCGGCAATTTTTCATTCAGTTCCAGCTCCGGCCTTTTCGGTTTCTGCCAAGCGTTAATATCCTTTTATTACGGAAAGTGAGAAACGGTTTTGAGTTAATTGGAAAAGTATTTTTCAAGCATCCGGTCTATTGTAACAGAGTTAAATTTGAAACTGGTATACATGAATAAATTGAATACAGAAATAACCACTGATTTAATTAACACTATCCGAAAATGTACGAATACAATCAGAGAAAATATAATTGGAGCATTTCGAATAAAATCGAAATTTGTGATAAGTATACTCCATCTGTTTGGGTACAATTCATCCATAGACCTAAAGTTTTATATAATAATAATAATAATAATTAGCTATAATTTTAGTTCCCATTACTGCAATTTTGTCTGATAACTATTATGACTTGGCCCTCGTTTCCGGGATGACGTCGACTTCTGGGACGCCCTGTATACCGACAGGTACACATGACATGTTAAACTTATAACACCCCCAGTTTTTTCGTAGGGTGTTAATAAAAGATGTGAATACGTCAATAACACCGAAAGTGTTTTCATTTCTTTTTTCTTTATCGTTTATGCTGTTAGTGCTACCTGTAAAAAATGGATCGATACCGTCTTCCGTTTTGTAGATATATGTTTTTACGTACTTCGTTTACGACTTGTATCCAGCTTTATATTTACCTTTCATTTGGTTTTTGTCGTAGTTTTTTGTGTGGCCATATACGGTGAGGTTCAAATTTGGCTGACGTCGTAATGTGCATGAGAAAGAAGCGTCCAATATCTTTGTTAGAAAAAGTGCGCCGATGGCGTCCGTGGCCTCGTCACTCGGGTTGCTAGGCAACGAGGTGCTTCTATCTCTTTCTAACACACGTATTTCAGGCTTCTCTCTCGTAGATATTACGACGTCGGTGGTATTTCGTTTTCACTGTATAGAAAACGCGTTGCACTCCTGAAAATTACCCCCAATAAAGCACAGTCGTTGGCGTGCTTTAATTTTGCGTAAAATGGCAAAGTTAACAGCGAGCCTCGCGCTTGGCGAATGACCTGCTAAAAGCGACGTAGAGGCATATTAGGCAGCAAATTGCAAACGTAAATAAATCATGTATGGCGATGTCATCTAGTTGGGAAAACACCTCCTATCTGTGACATTTCACTAGGGTAATGCAATAATAATGATCTTGTAATGATCAAAGGACACTGTTCATTAATAGGATGCGATTAGAGCACAGGAGTGTTTCAGTGCAAATACTGAAATCACGGGAACAGAAGATAATAAAAAAAAGGAAAAAGCACAGTACGAGGGATATCTTTTGAGTTTTGCATATGGAAATAAAACAACACGGTAGGTAGTTTTAAATGACTATTGTTTTTCGAAGTATTCTCCAGGAAGATTAATACACATCTGCATGCGCTCGAACCAATTTTCGAAGCACTTTTTCCACTCGTTTGCTGGCAGATCCAAAACGGCATTTTTGAATGCGTCAACTGCTTCTTCTGGTGACTGGAACCTTTGACCACGCAGCCTGTTTGTAATTTTCGGTAAAGTAAAGAAATTGTTAGGACTTAGATCGGGACTATATGGAGGATGGTTCAATAGTTCCACGTTTTCTTTCGTTAAATACTGCCTTGTTTTTTAGGCTGTGTGCGAGCTTGCATTGTCTTGGTGGAAGATGATTCTTCTTTCGGCGTTGATTTTTCGAAGCACGGTGATGACTTTTGGCAAACAAATGGTGGTATACTAATCCGCAATAACACTTCTTTGCTCATTAAGAGGAATTGTTGCAATATGACCCGCTTTTGACACAAATGTCGCGGCCATCTTTTTCGAAACACTTCGAGAACGGATGACTTTTGTTGCCTTTTCTTCACCTTGGAACACCCAGACAGCCGACTGTCGTTTATTTTCTGTTTCATAACAGTAAATCCACGATTCATCACCACTAACAATGCTGTACACATTTTTTTAGTTTCCGGAATTGAAACGGTCAAGTGTTTTTTGACACCAGTTAACCCTGGTTGCTTTCTGCTCTTCAGTCAACAGGTGGGGTATCCAACGAGAAACTAATTTTCTTACTCCTAATTCTTCATGTAAAATTTTTTGAATCGAGGTCTTTGTCACATGTCTATCTTCAATGATGAGTTTGCGCACAGCATCGACGTTTTCCTGGATGACTGCCGTTTTTGGTGCACCCACCCTGGAATCGTCGTTTGAATTTTCCCTATCAACGGGAAATTGTCGACTGATGTGGCGCTTTGTTGCCGAAAACAGACAGTAACTCAGCAAGGCATTCTTGTTGCGATAATTGTCTCTGAGAGTTGTAATAAATTATGGCGCGAAAATGTTCTCGGTTGAGTTCCATTTTTCTAATGACTTGGTGTCACTTAAAAATTCACTGTAGTGAGAACACTGCACGTATTGTTGTGAAACTTTGAATTTAAGTTTACTAAAGAGTGAGGTTAAGATTCAATACTGACGTTCTATTCGCGCCGCCTACTATGTTTCTATATGCAAAACCTAAAGGACATCCCTCGTAATCCGTGAAAATATTTAAATAATTAAGTATTATCAAAGACAAATCATTATTGATCTATCAGGCTTGCTCCTTATAAACGTTAAATAAATCTATTAAGGTGGTCGTGAAATATGTCAACCCTATCCAATATTGTGCACATTATAATTACTGGCGATCTGCATAAAATTTTGGTTCGTTGTGTTTCAAGGTAAGATGTAAGGTTGTGCCGACCAACTGTCTGTGTCTCTACCTAAAATTGTTCCAGTGATGTTATAGCACAAGGACTCCAATCATCATCCTGGGTAAAAAATAGGTGTCATTAAAAATATCATAGACAGGGCACATCTAATTTGTGAACCTCAATACCTGCAGGCGGAACTGGATCATGTTAACATGGTTTTACAAGCAAACGGCTATCGCAGGGAACAGGTAGAACAGGTTTCACGACAAAAAAGCAGACCGCCGTCAGGAGACAAGGAACTACCTGCGGTAGTCTCCTTCCCACCATACATTAAAGGCATCACGGATAGAATAGGAAGGTTGCTGCAGAAACACAACGTGAAGACCATCTACCGACAAATAAAATCCAGCAACTCCTAACATCAGTAAAGGACCCTAGGGACCCCTTGAGTGATGCCGGCGTATACAGAAAACCGTGTGCCTGTGGTAAAGTATACGTAGGCACCACTAAACGTAGCTTACAAACACGCATCAAGGAGCATGAAAGAAACTGTCGACTGGGACAAACTGATAAATGAGCGCACGCACACCAAGACGGCCACAATGTTCTGTTCGACCAAACTGAAGTCCTTTTTTAACATCCACCCACTACTCAGCCCGAATGTACAGAGAAGCAATTGAAATCTATAAACACAATGATAATTTTAATAGAAAAGAAGAAGGCCTTGCTTTAAACAAAACGTGATTCCCAATTCTAAAACACACGGCGCAAAAACCACGTCACTCAAGAGACCCAGAGTACCCCCACCAGACAACTCAGTCCTCTGTCCGCCGATCGCGTATAAAACCGCACGCTCATCCAGTTAACCGATCAGTTTCAGTCGACCCGCCAAGCCGAGCACTTCGCTGTCGCCGACTGCGCCACTGAAGGTGGCTACCGCAGATGTAGCCAAAAGCTATGGACCAAATCCAACCCGTCCACGGCTCAACAGCCCGAACAGCTTATACTAAATTACGATGTTATATGTATATATATATATATATAACCGGCCGCGTGGTTGTGGTTATTTGTCGCCTTGAAAATTCGAGGTCTTCTAGCCATTTTATACTACAATGTGTAGGTTGGCTCTTGTTGTGGACTTCGTGTGTCTTTTTTCCTCTCCATCTTCGTTTCCTCAGGTTACACCCGTATCCGGATGTGTGGGCATGTGTATCTACTTTTGTAGTTGCATATGCGCATTCATTTCGGGCCTGATGAAGCCAACCAGCAGAAATACGTATCGCTCGGGTTACCTATCCTATTTTCTGCTCGAATCCACTTTTTGCGGATTTTGCCCACTATTTTCCTATGTTTGTTATATACCTTTCTCCGCAGGATAATTTTCTCTCTCTCTATATATATATATATAGGTGAGAAATTAAAGCTTCCGCCTTTTGTTGGGTACTAAGCTGATCAGATTATGCAGTCCGTTGAACTGTCGAATTGGTTGCAAATCCGTCCTCACTATAAACTGCATTTTTTCAAAGACAGAGTCTCGCTGCTTGGCTTAACCAACACAGTCTACTCTATCAATTGCAACCAAATATACATAGTTCAGACCTCCAGATCTCTAAAAGGAAGAATTACATCACACAAAAGTGATTCTGGGCTTCATCGCGAGAGATGTGCTCAGGCATCTCATGTCAACACAACCGGGCACTCTATGAACTACACAAAGTTCTTGATAAAGAAAAACACCTATCCAAACGTTTATTTCTGGAAACGTCCCGCATTTTCATGAATGATAACTGGATCATTAAGAAGACTAATGTTAAGCAACTGAGCGTCATTTACTCATATTTGCTAAAATGCGAAAAATTGGAGCACTTACACATCTCTCCAAATTTTGACTTTTCACAACCATAAATGGAATCTACTTTTTGGTCTATTCCACCAAAAAATTCCATTACATTCAAATTTGAATAATTGTTTTCTCATAATTGAATAATCACTGTTAATTCAATTGCCTATCTCATAATAATATAGCCAGTTCAACTGCCTCTGGTCGGTTTGATAAGTTCTTACCTAACATATCTTGAAAATCACACCATCTGAAGTGATTTGGCAACGTAGCACACGCCCACAAAAGTATTTTCGTTCCATCATTCTACACAGACACTGCTAACCTTCGGCCATCTGTCAAAAGGTTCATCTTACTCATTATTCCATGCCCACCATTTTGTGCAATCATCAGGTGGCTTCACGATGTAATGTTTAACTTTCGTTTTTTAAATTTTTTTAATCTGTTTTTAACTTGTTCTTGTCATACAGCTGTGTGTAGTTTGTATAATTTTGACCATTGTGCCATTTATCCAGCTTTCACCATGTTACTGGGTGTTTCCCTCATCCTTAACGTAAACAACAATTAGCAACATCCTCATATACTACTGTAAGTTAATTTAAATTCATTTTACACTATTGTTGCTACTGTTATCAATGTAACTGCAGCTCCTGATGATGATGGCAAAGACCATTGAAAGCTAGAGAGAATAAAAAAGTATAAAGAGTCCTCCTTGCTTAAATTTTGTCGAAGTACCCAATAAAAGGCGGATGCTTTAATTTATATATATGACAGGATCCTGCTTTCGACTATGTAACTATGTTGCACTTTTTGACATTTAGTGCGAAGAAATGTGTTTGCCACCAGTCATGTATTAAGCTCAACATTCTTTGCAAAACAGTCGTCAGGAGAGTGAATTGCTGAAAATATAAATAAATGCATAAAGAGGAGTACATATCATTAATGACAATGAAGAAGAAGAATTGTAAGGTTCCTTGCGGAATTCCAGATTTAGATGTATAAAATGTAGACTTGGTGGCCTCCATATTAAATATAGGTGTATATTATGTCTAATAGATATGCTTTTAGAAGAGTCAACGGTGAGGCTCATAGCCCAAATGCTTCTAGCTTTGCCAACAAATAGTGGTCGACTCTACTAATGGCTTTAGATATATCTGTGTTGACCACGTCCACTTGTCCCTTACAACCAATATGCAGGCCAGATTTGTAACAATGGTCCGACCAATTATCTGATTGTTTGCTTTTTTGTGCATTTTTTCTTCAATCGTAACTTGTTAACAAACAATAGTACCACTCTAAAATTTTATTCCTATCAAGTTCTCGCTTCAAAACAACTTTGCTTTTCTGAAAAATGATGTTTCAAGAAAATCGCATTTTTCGAAAAGAAAAAGTAATATGATAAAAATTAATCACCCGCTTTTTTCTTCCATAAAAGCCGTTATTTATGAATTGATAAAAAATAGCAAAATACGTGAAAGTCATGTTTTCTCTGCATAAAAACATCATGTTGGAATCAAAAAGTGGTCTTGTTTATAATACCTAATACTTCCTCACGATTTTATTCAATATTTCAATAGAAATCACTGATATTTAGAGAGCTTTGACTGCTTCCGTCAAATTGCATTTCGATAAGGTCTTTTTCCATTGGTTCAAGTGACCGTCAAATACTAATGTTGGTGAGATCCACTCTAAATAGACAGTTGAAAAAAGCACGAAAAACCTTTAAATCGATAACTTTAAATTCGAAAAAGAGCAAATGACATTAAACCTTTCTTATAATGAATACGCTTATGCATTGTATGAATTAAGTGGTAAAGCTGCCATCGAGAACTGGACAGACACATAACCTCACAATAGGAAATCGCTAACGCTGGCACGGAACAGTAGAAACACCCCTTTCGGAAAGAGAGAAAAAAATTTGAAAATCAAATCAACTTACTAAATTCTACATACCTATAATACATATACAGTATAGTACCTAGTAATGTCATCACAAACTCAGAAGCGAAAGCACTAAACATTGACAATTAAAGAAAAGTGTGATATTTTAGACCGCTTAAATCGCAATGAAACTTTCAGTAGTTTAGCAAGTGAATACGGCGTAGGCCGATCTACAATTTATGACATTAAAAAACCACGAGAAGATCAAGAAGTTAGTGCCAACTACTGATTACGGACCAGGCAAGAGACAGACACTCAAGAAAGCTGAACATCCAGAACTGGAAGAAGCTTTGTACATGTGGTTTCTTCAGAAAAGAAATAGGCATGCACCAATTTCAGGACCCATGCTGGCCATGAAAGCTAAGTTTTTTTATAAGGAAATAACAAAAAAAGATGATTTTGTGGCCAGCAAAGGATGGCTAGAACGTTTTAAAAGTCGTCATGGCATACGTTTAATGACTATTACAGAAGAGAAACTTTCTAACGATGCTACCTGCATAGAGCCCTTTAAATTAAGATTTTTGCAAAAGGTGAACGATTAAAATCTTGACTCGTTACAGGTGTACAATGCAAACGAATCAGGGTTTTTTTGGCGTGTGATGCCTAACAAACAAAAGACCTTTTCAAAAAGTGGTTTGATGAATGCTTCGTACCTGAAGCTAGAAAATAGTTAAAAGATCATAATTTTCCTCAAAAAGCGTTGTTGCTTCTTGATAACGCTCCCGGTCATCCGTCTGAAGAAGAACTAACAACTGAGGATAAATGCATCACTGCGATGTTTCTTCCGCCAAATTGCACTGCACTGATTCAACCAATGGACCAGAATATCATTAAGTTTGTCAAGCAAGACTATAAGAAAAACCTACTTCTGAGAGCCGTATCACA